CCCCATACTCTTTTGATTTTTGCAGCTGTAGCAGGGTTGTGTCCTTGATTTCTTTCCATGCCAAATAAAGTGTCTGCACATTTTGTCTAGTTCGTTCTTGTACTATTTAGGCAGTTATATCAGGAGCACCTGCAAAAATAAAGTATTCTGGAGAAAGAGGCTCAGGTTTGATGGATTAATCATCCCAAGGAACCATGAAATTAGCATGCCAGAATTGTAAACAGGTTTCTAAATTGCATTGCAAAGGCAGTTTATTAATATTAATTAATAGGCTGGGGCTATTCTGCGCTCTAGGCATGTAAAGCTCTCTGAGGAACAGTTGATATAAAGTATCGGTACTTTATAAATGATGCTTTTGGCCAAGCTCTGCAGTTATATCTGCATAAATCCTTGGTAACTAAATCTGGAGTAATTCAAGCTACTTTGATTACATTACTCCAGATTTACACCCATTAAAATAAGAGAAGAATGTTGCTCTTAGTCTGTATTTGAAACTGGCATAGTTTCACACCAAGAAATATTAATCCTAAAAACTGAAAAATTAGCTGATCCCTCAGCATTGCTCTTAGATGTTTACAAACAGATGAACTACCCAGGATCAGAGAATAAAGGACATCAGCAGCAAATTGGGGGATTCTGAGCTCCCTGCCTGTAACAGCTATTCCTAAATTGAATGTGGATGCCCATGTGTTAGCTGAAAGAGCAGATTGGACATGAGGGATAGAAGGGCTCAGATTACAAGTCACTTTTGCAGACAGAAGTCTGTGCTTTATAACACAGTGACACTGTTCTGACTGATGTCTCATCTACATTTAGAGCTCTCTGAAGGCCCTCAGTATTATTGCTTGATAGTCAGTGCAATGAATCATTACAGAGTGATACATCACACAAATTTTGTTTAGCAGTCATACAATTGTTGTGACTGACAATAACCTCCAAATATCTGAGTTCTTTTGACTAGAGTCACCGTTACTTGTAATAACTTGCCATAATGCATCAGACTATTGGCCCCTTTTCTGATGCTTCAGAAGAAAGTGACAGCTTCTACCCCGCAAACACACCCAATTCACCTGGCCAATTGTTCAATGCTATATGGAGAGGAAAATGTCAAATGGAGCATTGTAGGAAACACATATATGCCTGAAGCATGATGTGAAAGGTTCCTTTTGGTAACTTGCTCTTGGAAATCCCATCATTTTTTCATTACCTAACAGTCCAATGCAAGCCAACCCAAAACTAAGACAGCAGGGTTTCTTAGCTGTGGCAGAAATCTGTATTGCTCTTGGATATCAATTAATGAACAGTTCTGGGCTCCTCCACTCTTAGCCTTGTGGAACTGAAAAGGGAGCTTTAATAGGAGAGGTTCTCTAGCTCACTGGAACAAATCACCACTTGCACATCCTGAAGACTGCAGAATGAAAATCCCCTTTAGGTTTGTCTTTCTGATTAAATGAAGAAAGAAGGATTAATGGGCTCTTACTGCATCTGCATGGTCTGCATGCTGTCTCTGTAGCTTGTCTTAGGGCTGGCCCTTTTGAACAGTTACCCAAATGCTGTTACCGTAGCTTACTAAAAACAGTCTCTTAAAAATATTCCTTGTATTTTTTTCCTAAGAATGCGTAGAAAGTCTATCTTCTCCTCTTTGTATGTATAGCAAAAACTTATCTTTTGTGTAAACATCATGAGAGTACACATCAAAGTCCGTGCAGAGAAATATTGCAGCTGTTTAGAAAGAGATTCAATTATTCAGCCTTCAGGTTGTACTGTACACTACCCAGGTTCACACTAGAATAGAACAGAATATCAATGCTGACATCTCACATCTGTCCTGTATCATCAAAGTTCCTGATTACCTTTCTACCTCATCCAGAAGCCTGGCACAATACAGCTTTCTGGTGACTAATATAAATTATAGATCACTTTTTAAAAACGTTAGAAATTATATTTTTGAAAATGCATATTGTTATGACAGGTCACTAGATGGTGCTGTTACACATAATCTTACAAGTTTCAGAGGAACAGCCGTGTTAGTCTGTATTCGCAAAAAGAAAAGGAGTACTTGTGGCACCTTAGAGACTAACCAATTTATTTGAGCATGAGCTTTTGTGAGCTACAGCTCACTGATGAAGTGAGCTGTAGCTCACGAAAGCTCATGCTCAAATAAATTGATGTCATGCTCAAATAAATTGACTTCATCAGTGAGCTGTAGCTCACAAAAGCTCATGCTCAAATAAATTGGTTAGTCTCTAAGGTGCCACAAGTACTCATAATCTTACAAGTACTTTTTCTTAGTTTGTGAGGAAATTTTAAACTTGAAAGAAAATGCTGTGTTGGTTTTGGGGCCTGGGTTTCTTTTGGGGAGATGTGGTAAGCAGCAAGTGTGTTTTCTCTTGGCTTTAATCTCGAACTACAGTCCATTCTTGAGGCAGAGTTGCTTCCTGGAAATTGGGCATTGGTGTGTGGGCTGAGAACCCTGGAAGAAGGTATTGCCTGCAGGCTGTCTGTGAGAACCTCTGTTCCAGAACTGATGTATGTTTGTGTACTCATACACCACACCTCTGATTTCTCCTCCAAAGGCAAGCTGACCTGCAAGGCCTGACATCTACTGCTTGGCAAAGAGGTAACAATATTACATGCAATATCTGTATCCACCTACTCTATAATCATAATGTTAGGAAATGTTTCTGCACTATAAGTGTCCAAGATGTGTGGTCATTCAGCAAGGTAAAAGTCCCTGAGGTGGCCTTTGGGGTGTTTCACAGGTTGTGCTCTCTAGAGGTTAGTTGCTGCAGTGCCGTCACAGACCTGGTCAGGCTCCCCTTTGCTGGATACACACCAGGCTGCTGTATTTGGATCCATACCCTGAATGTGTGCTTTTAAGTTCTTCTGGGACTGGGTAGGTTCCAGGCCTTTCTTTGGCCACTAGGCTCACTCCCTGGGCATAGACTCTGCGGGCTACCTCTTCTTGTACATGGGACCCAATATTCCAGCTGCCCTAGCCCCAAGACCAGTATTGAACCCATCCCAATACACTCCAGTAGCTTAAGCATACCCTCCCACAGAGCTCCACCCTCATGGGTACATTAGTTATAGTTTAACCCTTCAGGAACATGTAATATTTGAAGCAAACAGACACAATCGTTGCAGATGGATTTCTGAAACAAAGCATACTTTACTCATAGACAGCACAAAAGATATACAGATGTAGGTAAAATAGTAAATCCTCTGTAAACCAGTCTAGGACTTAGGTTTTTTTTTACCACTTTTGAATGTTCCTTGGGATCTGGTCAGTGTCCTTTCAAAATTCCAAGTCCATCTCCTGGACTTCACTCCTCCAGCCCAGGCTTCTCCTCCAGATCATGGAGTCTCCTCACTGACTCCTGCATCAACTTTGGCTGATGTGCCAATCAAAAGGTTCCCTCATGCCCAGAAAGCCACGCCCCTTTTTCCTCCACCCTTGATCTTCTCAGCCTCTGTGTTTTTGAAGGTGTGCACTAACACGCAGATCTCCTCTTTCCCTTTGGGGAATCTTCCATTTTCTTGTCCTTCATAGATAATCTGGAGAGGACTGATTTTACCTAGGTTGCTGCGACACCATTGCTCTGCTTGGGCAAGGTCTATTCGGTTGTTTGATGGTCATTAGTGACTATCACATTCAGAGGTAGTTGGCCAGGTCCTACTCCCTCTCTCATTAGCACAACAAATGCAATGGAAGAATACGGTGAAGACTACCAAAAGGGCCTAATGCAGTATTGCAAACACTTGTGAGTTTTGTGCAAGTGACAGGATTTCAGAGGTGTCTGGAGCTCATGTCATGATGATGCAAGAAGCTCCAATCCCCTCACAAAGCTCAGCCCCACCAGAAGCCAGCAGAGTCTCTCCTCTCCACATGCCATGCTCACAGGGGAAGGAGGGAGCAAAGAGCTTAACAGCTCAGTGCAACACTGCTCCCTCATCCCCCCTCTCCTACTGTGAGAAAAATGGACAGGGCAGCATTTCTGCTCCTCCTTCTCCCCTTGTAGCATCTGGCCCAGGAAGGGACAGACGGGGGTGAAAAGTCCCTGGAGCTTACCCCTCATAGCATGGCAGGAGGAGCGGGGACCTGGCTGCAGTCCACCCAAGCATGGGAGAGAGTGAAGAACCCCAGGAGGAGTAGAGCACACTGGGGGAGGCTGAACGGGAGGGATGAGGCTGAATCGATGGGGGCTTGGACTGATGGGGGGACTGAACTGATAAAGGGACTGGGGACAAGATTAATTGCTAGCCAGGGGGTGGCTAGATGTGGCGGTGAGAGCTCCTGACCAGGAGGTCCACATCACCTTACTTAATACATTTGGGATTGTGGGCAAGACTAATTGTCGCATACAGACTCAGAATGGGCTGGGGCAGTTCAGTAGCCAAAAGGCATACTGAAAAAACAAAACATAATCTTTTTTAAACATCTCATGATTTTTTGGGCCAATCTCAAGATTTTTTTGGAGTCTGAATCATGATTTTGGAGTTTGAATCACTGAGGTCGGCGATGCTGATAACCATACACAGAGTTCATAATATCAAATAGCATTCATAAGCTGTACATAGATTGCCATATCATCAGCGGTGCCTACTCAGACAAAACTCCTATTGACTTCAATGGAAGTTATGTTGAAGGACTATAGGATTTGTTTCCAAGTTAAGGTGGCACCAAGGAAATACAAATCTCCTACAGGTCTCTATGAGGCTGCTAATCAATTGTGATGTGGACACCTTTCCATTAGGAACCTTCCATGGAACTACTTTCAGAATAATGTACTAGTCAACGTGAGTAAGGGTGACAGAATCTGACCCTAAATAATTAGATAAACTATGTAATAAATAACCCCTAGGAACAAAAATGCAACATTTCACTGTGCACTGATATATTTCATTCAGGGCAGAACCTGAGGGCTGCAGACTTTCCAGATTTAATTTAAGAACACGAGCCAGTAAATCACCATTGCAAAACACACTGTTTGTTCTACTTTCCCATGTGACAATCTTGAACACATTTGTTATTTTAATCAAATTGGCAGAGATAAAATGGGGTATAAAAGACAGAGTGCAGTAACTAGTGCTGTGGCTCACACTACTTCATCCAGCTGTTATAAAATGCAGGCCAGTCCTATTCTCCTTTTGGTTGGCTTAGCCTGTGTCTGCCCAGTCTTTGGTGAAAGAGAAATCCGCGCTAATGGCACTTTTTCAAACAGAAAGTATTACAGCTCAATAAACGTCACTAATGGAGGACCTTGGGGCGCTTGGACATGGATTGATATGTGCCCAGAACATTTCTATGCTACGGGATATAGTGTAAAGGTAACTGAACCTGATTACTTTATCCATACCCTCGTCAGAGCTATAGGTTCTTATCATGTTAATGATCTTACTGTATTTCTGTATATTTTAGGTGGAGGAGTATCGAGGAGCTAGTGATGACACTGCACTAAATGGGATCCGTTTATTTTGCATACAAATCAACAGTACGAATAGTGCTGTCTATACCGTTGAATCTGATTCTGGAAAGTAAGTTTAATGGTACTTCAACCTTTTATATTTTGTTTGATCTATAGTAAACCAGAAGATGAGGAACCTGAGAACTTGTAGCACTGTCAACCACAGTGCAGCCTGTTATTGCCTCCAGGTTGCTCTTTTTAAGTTTTTATGCTGGGAATATAATTGTTTACTACTACCGAGGAAGCGGCCACATTATGGTCTAAGTTACACCAGGGTAGCCCAATGAATTTGGCTCAAGGTATTAATTATGCATGATTTGCAAAATTCAGAGAGAAAAGGCTACAATTTAAATAGCAGACATTGACTGTGTTGTGTCTGAATTTCCTACCTTTTCCCCCAGGCACACTTTGATGGTCTTTAAAGTTAAAACTGACACCTCATCCTCACTTGAATATTTGGCCTTTACAATTTTCTTATAACAACTTGTGTTATAGGGACACAGTCAATCTGGAATCTAGTCACTTTAAAAATAACAACTTTAAAGTAATTCCCAGGTACTTTACCTGCTCCTGAGGCCAAAATGTTGGCAATCACATTTCCCTGTTTTTATATATTTTTTTCTTTCCCCACCTTGCTGTGTAAAAAGTTCTGCCCAAGCAGCGGAAACTAAGTAACTAAGCCCTGACACTGCAATCAGATCTACTAGCGTAGACCCTTCCACCCCAATGGGGCACTGCATAAGTGGAGGGGTTCAGCTAATAGATCTGATTGCAGGATCAGGACCTGGCTGACTACAGAGGGGAAACAGTGAAAGTGACTATACACCAAGTTCTGCCAAATGCACAACGAAAAGAAACAGGAAAAAAAAAAAGAGAGAAATATTTCCCCTTCATTTTTCAGTTATAATAGTCTTTGGCATTACTTGTAATGGTAATAGGGAAATGTTCAGACAGAAATGTGATTATTTTAAAGTTGATGATGTCCCCTTAAGGGCCCAGTTATCAGTTTCAACTTTGAATGCCTCACCCTCTATCAGTTGTATCAATGATGTAATATAAAGAGTGTTTTTTAAATGTAATTTGTGTATGAAAGGATCTGTGGGTCACTGATATATATGGCTCAGTCATTTAATTGAGTTTATATTATCTGATTTTAAGAACTGCCATATTAGATCAGACTCAAGTCCATTTAGTGCAGTATCCTCTCCCCTACAGCGGCCAGCCCTAGATGCTTCAGAAGACATGCAATGATCTTCCAGTAGGCAGATGGGAGAATGCACCCTGCATAGGTCTAATCCTGGTTTCTGATAGTTAGAGATTGGCCTGAATCCTGAAGCACAAGGTTTAATATCCCTTCCAAAATGTTTGTTGACATTAATTATGAACACTCTAGATATTCTTAATATTCATGTAAATATCAAAGTTTTAAAGAGTGGACATAACATAAATCCAGATTTTGAAGTATGGGTATAATTTTTTTCCAGGCAGACACTTACAATTATTGCAGGCAACAAAGAGTAAACTCCAAGCTATTTTAAATTGATATTAAGAAACATATTCTCCTCTTACTTCCACTGATGTGAATGGATTTACTTTAAGGCTTTTTCTGGTGTGCATATATCTACAGTGAATCTTGTTTTCTCAGGTTTTCTTGAGTTTGACACATATACTGTGAACAGGACATTCACATTTCTTCAGTTTTGTTCCAACTTTTTCCTGCCCTCAGACAGGAAAAGCTTCTTGCTGCTTTGTCATGAGTTCAGCTTGTGATAACCTGCTGTCATTGTGCTGTCACTTTATTTTTGGAATGTAAGGAATGGTATCCGCTGTGTATTCTGCAGAGTCCAAACACAGCTGGTGTTCAACACATAATAAATAATACATTCAAAATAATTCAGAAAATCTGGCATACTTCCCATTTTAAAAATTGATCAAACTTGATTAAAATAACATTTCACTAACTTTTATGCAACAAGTAGAGAAAAATATATTGAAATTCTCTTTCCCCCCCCTAGGTTTGGGCAATGGTCAGGAATCACTTGGTGTCCAACTGGGTTCCTAACATCCTTTCAGCTGAAAGTTGAAGAACCCCAAGGAATTTTAGACGATACAGCCGCTAACAGTATCAAATTCCGCTGTAGCAGTGGTGCTATCATAGAAGGAACAGGCGGTAGTTTTGGTGATTATGGTGGATGGAGTAATTCGTGCACAAGAGGTGGAATTTGTGGCATTGAAACCAAACAGGAACCATACCATAATATTTTTATTGATGACACAGCACTCAATGATGTTCGTTTCTTCTGTTGTGACTGATTTCTATTGTTGAATGTTATTTTCTGGGATTTCCCAAAGGCTGACACCTGGATTGTTCTGAACAGAACATTCTGTTATTTTCAGCCTTGTGCCAAGCCCCACTGCAAAGTCAATTTGCTCTAAATCTTAGTAATAGTAACATTTTCTGTCTCTTTAAAAAAAGTCACAATAAATTAGGTTTCAATAGTGATGTGCTGCCCCCTAATGACTGTCTGAAAGCTGTGATTGATTGATATGGAAATGAATTGTGAGCTGATCTAAAGGAAAGCCAGGTAGTTAGGAACAGGCTCCATCCTGCAATCACCTCTCTGTTTTGCCAAGCTTCTCCCCCTCCTATTTTGGAAGCACCTGAAGGTGTCAGCCCTATTTGATTTCATTCCTAATTTAAGGACTCCAGATAAAGTGTTCATGCAAGTTAGACTTTCTGACACAGAGAGCCTGACACTATGGTCCTCATATTATAATAATTGCTGTTAACTTCAGTGAGAGACTTGAGGTCAGAAGGGATGCATGATCACGCTCCCAGTAAAATAACCTTGATGAGTTACTTTTGAGGACCATCTATGAGACCCATGGTGAGTAAGGGGCTATAGGAATCCTCTTTTCTAGAGTCAGCAATGTCAACACTCTTATTCTTTAAAGTAGCTAGCAGCAGATACAGGAAAAGGAAGCAAACACTAATATGTTCTTTTTACGTAGCTATAAAGTCTTGTGCACCTAAAGTTCTTCCATTTTCTGCTTTCAACTGGAAGTTTTACAACTTTGCTTTAGTACATTAGTGATACTTTGCTTTAGTACATTAATTCTTCCCAACGTTTTATGAGTCAAAATGGAATACCTTCAATAAATTTCATGTCAAAATACATGTTGTTTGGGAGGTTTTTTTCTCCTAAATATTTCACACTCTGCTCTTGTTGGGTGTCCTGAAGCCTACTAATGGAAAGTTTGCTGACAAGGAGTTACTAAATCCCAAAGGAAACTAAAGCTATGTACATCTATCCACTTCTTTGGAGTCATTGTCCCATCCAATTTAGATTGTGGATTAAGGCGGCAAGAGACAATGGGCCAAAGACAGGGAGCCTGATTGTACTCCCATTGACATCAATGAGAATTTTTAACAAGAACAAGATGTAGCCCAGTTCTGAGCTAATTCACACACACTGTGCAATATCACTGAGAATGGGGTATTGGCTCAGTGTATTTGGACAGGAATATATTAACTATTTCTTACAAAAGTAATTATGTTCTACTTTGATACATATAAAACCTACTTTGTTTTATATGGGTCAAGTACACTGTACAGCTTGGCTAAACTCTCATCTCAACAAGGCAGACTTCCTTTGAGAGAGTTTCTAAAGTTTCACAAAGATTCATCTTCCTGTTTTCTTAGAAGTTTTAGAAGAGAGACCCTTTGGCAATTTGTCTTCCAAGTTTCCTTAAAAGGGCAAACTTCTTGTCTTCTGCAGGTGTAGAGCTGCAGAGTCATTAGCGATACTCACAGTACTTTTATTCTCTGGTTGAAGAGAACAAATAGTAATTTTTCGCTTGAGTTGGTTAAACCAGGAGCCTACTGCAATTACTTGAGCAAGACTTTCCAAGCAAGGTCTTTCTAGCATCTCCTGAAGACCGTGGCAGACATACATAACTTTCTTTTGCATGCAGGAATCTGTGTGTCTTGAATCCTAAATGAAAGTGACCGTGAGGTTTGGAGACAGTCTTCACATAGACCTGTCAGTCATCTCTCATCTAGCACATGTGAGTGATCAAATCGCCACAGCTGATTCTCATTCTTGTTACATACACGTAAGGACAAGTCCTTCTCAGCTTCAATCTTCACCGCCTCTAGGCATTTACCAGAAAGGATGTGGACAATCATTCCACTCTACAAAAAGACAAAAAAGGGACAGAAGGAATGGAGAAAAAGTAAAAGACTTTCAATAAAGATCAGAATGTGTATTTTAAACTTCTAACAAAGAAATGCAATCAGTAGGGATCGGTGATTATTTCTTTGTTTGGAGTAATACTTTAAATTTAATGATTACTGAAAAAGCCTTAGGGTTGATCCTGAAAGGTGGTGAGTACCCATAGTTCCAATTGAGCCAATGGGAGTTGTGCATACTCAGCACCTATTAAGATCAGACCCCACCCCACTCCCAGTGCCTTCTGCTTTTTAGAGGATAATGTTGTCCCCAGCATAAATTGCTGGACTGTGTCTTGCCAAGACTAACCTAGTCCAATGCTGGGGGAAATGAATCCTCACTGGGATTAGGAAGTAGAATGGTAGCAGAAGTGCCCCATAACTGCAACTATAATAGACTCTGAGCTGTAGTACGCATGTGATTGCCATGCACCTGTTCTGTGTGTAGAAAAACTGGAAGTTCATCGAGTCAGAGTTTAAGTCCAGGAGGGACCTAGTCTGACCTTGTGTATATCCCAGGCCACCAACACCACCCAGCATCTGCACACTAAACCCAACAACTGAAATTAGACCAAAGTATTACAGTCCACAGAGGACTAGACAATGATGTGCCACTGGGAGAGAACAGGTGGGAACGACAGACACCAGTGCCCGAGGCTCCTGTAATGGCAGGGAAATGATTAAGTGAGATATACCCAGATAATCCTGGCAAGTGACTCTCACCCACATGCTGCAGAAGAAGGTGAAAAAACCCCCAGGTCACCACCAATCTGACCTGGGGGAAAATTCCTTTCTGACTCCACACATGGTGATCAGTTAGACCTTGAGCATATGAGCAAGAACCAGCCAGCCAAGCACCTGAGACAGAGAATGCTTCATGCCACCTCAGAGCCCTCGCCCACCCTGTCCAGTGTTCAGTGTCCTTCCATCCTTTCACAGGAAGGAGACAAAAAAAAAAAAAAAACAGAATACATTGGCAGCGGTGCGGGAATCCCTTCCTGACCCCTGCAGGTAGCTGTCTGAAGCCTAGACACATGAGCTTCTAGGAACATAAGACATAAACTGGTGAGTCCCAGGGCTGCTGAACTCTGCCCCCTACCATGACAAGCAACCCATCATACACTCCCATTTATAAATCTGTCTAGATCTCTTTTAACACTTTGTTCCATATATTGACCTGGAGCCTTAAAATTTCCCATGCTGCAGATAATTTCCTACCTTGCTGGGTGAATTCCACTGAATAATACTGAATTCTTATAGAAGGAGATACTCCTATACTGCAGTAGAGGGGGAATTTTAAGGCCCCATCCTACTCCCAAAAGGGATCCAATTCAAGCCAAGCAAGGGGTTCTAGAGCATGCGGTTCTATAGAATGATTGCTTTAACTCTTATTCTTAACTAAATTTGTATGAGGAAGTTGGGGTGAATAGGACAAATAGCTTCACAGTACCTTGGATGCAAACTGTGATGCAGTGAAACCGTAATCTAAAACTTCTGGTAACCCCTTCCCCACAACTTTTGGGCTGTTTTCAGTTAGTCTAGCTTCATCACAAAATCACTACACACCTCTTGGACATCCCATTGTTGCTGGTTATTTTCTGCCTCTTGCGTACAGTTTTGAAGGATAACCTTCTCATGTCTGACATCAAAGCAAAACTGCAGAGCGGAACCAAACCGGATTTCCTTCATACTGTTATATTCAAAATGCTAGAAAAAGAAGGGTTTGTTTGCATTAATAAAGTTGAAGAATATTCCAATTCATTTTTAGTTGCTAGTATCCAAAATCATTTCCTGTCTGTTAACATACAATGCCAAGATGAATGAAGGAGACACAATAGGCCTGAACCTGCAAACCTATTTTCTTACAAGTAGTCCTTGCACGACTACTTTCTTGGGACTATTTCCATAAGTAAAGGTTTTTAGGATTGGATAACATGTACAAAGTAGATGCAGAATATAATATTTGTAGGCAATGTTTTTCTGGTTTGTTTGTTTTTTTTTAAAGGTCTGGGAATGTCCGGCTGGTGGGACATTCCCAGACATCAGATTATGGGAAAAATCCATCTCTGTTATTCTAGAGTTGCTATATTTGTTCCCTAAACTTCCTAGTCTTCCATTTCCCCAGATGCTACTGAAAATAATAAATAATCACTTTGTACTCACAGGCCCAATCCACATGTGCTGGACAGTTTCAACTCCCACTGAGTTCATTCTCAGCATTCAAAAAGAGAGATGAATTTAAAAGTTCAGGGGAAAACATCTATCTTTGAGTCAATCAGGAAGCAGAACTTTTACAAACCAATCAAGACACAAATATTGGCATATACAATCTAAAGTCCTGGTCTTGTATTTCTTGAGCTACCAAAACTTCCCCTATCTTTAATGGGAGTTTTGGATGTAAAAGGATCAGAGCATAGAGTTCTAATTGTTTAACGTTATTGCAGAACTCAGTATTGTTGACTGACCTCTATGGAGATAAAAAGTAAAGACCTCATTTTTAGCTTGATGTAAGCCAGGCTTTCATTTTTGCATCCACAAATGGACAGAAACACTTTAGTTAATGTAGATGATTGAGTGTGCTGCAGATCAAATACTTAAATATCAAAATGACCTAAAATGTTCAAAAAATTTCAGGTGAAAAACAGAAGCCAGCTTTAAATATCTGTCATGGAAAATGAACAGACATATCCTAGGTGTTGGTGGTTAAATTACACTTTGCATATTACCTTAAAAAGGAGAGGCAGAATACAGTAAAGCTGTCACAATGCTGTTTGTATTTTCATTAGACAAAGACTGCTTACTGAGATTTCATTTGAATGAATGAATGTTTTTGCTGTATTGTAAATCTTTGCTTTAAATTATTGTTCTGTCAAGCAGTGTGCTAAGTAATCATTCTGTTATATTAACTAAAATACGATTTTTCCCTTTCTTAACTTTCCAAAAACTGATTGAAAAAATAACAGTCAACTTCATGAAAATCTTGACATTTACCATTTGCGATAATTCAATATACTGCAGTATTTGTTGTGTTTCAGTCCAATCACATACATTTTTCATTTTTAGTATAGAGAATACTGAAAATATCATGGGATAGTGGTGTGGTGAACCTCAATATTTTAAGGTTCAGATGAACTGATTCCCAAATGGAAAAAAACCCATATTTTTTGGATGGGACAAAATCAGCAAGACATACTCTTGCCGTAATTTAGCTGGTCAGCATTTAGGCCCTGATTCAAGAAAGTATGTAAACATTTGTTTAACTTTAAGCACATGAGTACTCTTATTGAAGTCAATGCTTAAAGTTAGTTAGGCACCAGTTAAAATACCTTCCTGAATTGGGGCCTTAAATTTGATGCCAGTACACAAAAGCTTTAAATATACAATACCTGGTTAATATTGTCACTACAAGGAGACAGCTCAATAGGACCTTCTGCAGCACCCCATGCAGATCTGTAATCTGCACAGAAGCCAACACCAGTATTGTACAGCTGCAAATAAATATTTGTACTGAAATAAAGTACAATCAGTTAAAAAGGAAACGTCTTTTAATTAACTTTTAATGATGCTTGGGTTGTATCCTTTTTATTGTATGTGCTTTGGCTAATTATTCAGCCAGTAGAGTTCTTTCACTCATAGGCAAGATCAAATAGTCTCGCATATTGAGCGAAACTGAGCCTTGTCAGTAGAGTGACACAAGAGATTAGCTTGGCCCAATGCTATTTGGCAAAGTTAAAGTTAAACCTCCACTTTATCATTAGTAGATCTGGTCAAACCTTTTCCAACAATTTTTTTATGGAAAACTGGGTTTTTGACAAAATTAAAATTTTTGCAGAAACTGTCTGTATTCCCTGAAAATGTTTGATATTTTTGTCAGAAAAACTGAACACCCAAAACTCTCCAAATTTTTGGGTTGGGTTTTCAGTTTTCAACATAGAGTCACTATTTTCCACAAAAAACCCTATTTTCTGATGACCTCTAATAATTGCCCTGTTTGTGTATATGGTACTGAATTTAATACATTAGTCACAAGAATGTTTTCAGTATCATGACCATATTACATATCCTGGTATGTTCTGACAAACGTGGAATTATATATCATTCCATACAATATGAGGATAACTAGTAGTATATTATATTACAGTTTCTGAATCTATCAACCAGAATGCTAGGGCTATGTCTACACTCTGAGCTCAGGATGTGATCCCCTGCTCATGTACACATACTCGCTCTCACGCTCGTTGAGGTGCCACTAAGCCTTTTCACATTGGGTCAGATTTTGAGATCCTAAAACAATGCTTAGTCTTTTCTTGGGCAAACTCTCATTAATGTCAATAGGAACTTTCCTGAGAAAGGACTGACTAGAAACTAAGAGCCTCAGGATTTGGCCCATTAAACAGTTTTATTAAATGTGTGTTTTAATAAGTTATAATTATTAAATGTGAAATCCTATAACTTTTGGGGAGGCAGCATGAGCTAGGGAATAGGGCACTGGACTGGGAGTCAGGAGAAGTGGGTTCACTTCCTGAGTTGGAACTTGTTGTGTGATATTGGGCAAGTCACTTTACTTCTCTGTGCCTTTGTTTTCCCTCCAATTCTTTATCTGCCTTGTCTATTTACATTGTAAACTGTCCAGGCTAGGGACTGTCTCTTACTATATATTTGTACAGCACCTAGCACAATGGGATTCTGATCTCAGTTGGGGTCTCTAGGTACTCCAGTAATACAAATAATAATAAATTTCCCTCTTACCTTGCCAGAGAATCTTGGTTTGTACACTGGTGGGTAGAGTTCGGGGTATACATTTGATATAAACCAATGAAATTTTCTACAGCCCAGTCGCTTTTGGAGTTGAAGGCGCTCGTTGCAGTCTGGCTTTTCAGCCTTATATGAGAAAGCATAGAGCAGTTGAATGGATAGTAAACAAGTACTAATATATTTGGTTTTGAGAAGCTGTAAAAGAAATATACTGCCCAGGGAGGGCTCAGTTCTGCCACCCCGTATGTACAGCAAATTACAATTACAGGTTTCAGAGTAACGGCCGTGTTAGTCTGTATTCGCAGAAAGAAATGGAGTACTTGTGGCACCTTAGAGACTAACCAATTTATTTGAGCATAAGCTTTTGTGAGCTACAGCTCACTTCATCGGATGCATACTGTGGAAAGATCTTTTAAAAATGGGGCGGGAATAAGGATTTTCATCATCCATAACAAGTACAATTATCTTGCAAAATCAGTAATTCTTTGCCCTCTTTTGAACAAAAAAAAAAATTCTACACTAACTTCACTGAAACCAATGGGGTTGCATAGGCTGTTAGAATTTGGCTTATTAATTGCCATTTAATGCCCTGGCTTTAACAGACCAAAATCTTCTCTTGAATGAGCTTAGAAGTTGGTCTAACATATGCAGTAATACTGATCAAATTGTATATATAAACAATTGATTTGACTATTTTTCCCATTAATTGCTCATTTTATTATGTGAATAATTTATTTCTGCAGACGCTCTACGGGGCAGCAACCATCATTTTGTTCTGTGTTTGTACAGTGCCCAGCACAATGGTGTCCTGGTCCATGATGACGGCTTCTAGGCAGCACGGTAATACTGGTAATAAATAATAACAATAAATGGTTGAATAATATTCATAGGATATGTTATTTTCTTCTGTCACATAAACTATTCCAACTCTGAGCCTGCGATGAAGAAACCACATCCTAAGAGTTCAGACCCAGAAAAAATAAATTCTGAATGGAAAAAAATGTATAACGCAATCTAAATTGCTTAAAATCTAAATACTTAATAGATGTCAATGTTCAGCTAATATTCCCTGGATTTTTCCAGTGGCCAGTAGATGGCCCTATTTACCCTATTAATTCAACAAATCATGGAGGGACAAGACTATTATGATGATTGCAAGTGAATGCATTGCAAATTATTTCATTCATTACCTGTATGGATTAATACACCATGCTATACTAACACAAAAATACTGTATGTGGAAGAAGGTAATAGATTAATATTACGTTAGCTGAACATGAATATCATTTCAGGGTACTTCATATTTGTGAGATAATAACAGTAACCTAAGCAAAATAAACTTTGAGGCCAAAGGCAAAGGTTTTGATAGCACATAAACTGCAACGCTGGAAGCTGAAGGGTTTACTAGCTCAGGATAAAGTTATTACCAGGTTAACAAGAAGCACCTTCAGTTAATTATTAAATGAAATAAGAAACCAGTCATTGATCTCTGCAGACCTGGGCTCACATTCTCCTCTCAGTTACACTGCTAGCTCATTGACTCAAAGAGACAGCAGGGGTATAAATTAGATGGAAATTTGGCCCATGGGGTTCAAGTCCTGCAATATAAGTAGCAAGAGAAAATTCAGTTGGAAAAAAATCAGATGAAAAATATTAGTTTGATATAGTCTCAAACTTATCATAAAATTTAGCATGATTGGGCAACTCAGGACTACAGCAACTGGAGTTTGGCAGATCAGGATTGAAATGCAGTGCCAAAATTGTTTGAGGAAACTCATACAGTGCTAAGTGCCAACCCACACAATGCTAGATGTAGCATCAGTCTTCAGTTTTGTAAGCACAGCATTTTAAAATTAATGACATCTCTCCTTTACTGATTCTACTTTTTCACCTGCTTGCTAAAACTGCTCAAACTTCTGCCCTACCAGTGAGTGGAAAAGGTTCCTGGTATAATGAAATGTACCAGAGCCAAAGAAATAGGGCTAGCAGCAGGATTGTCAACAACCCCTGCTGTCTGGATTTTAAGAAACCCATGTTTGGGTATATGACATATTTCAGTCACAGGGCTGAACCCAAACAGCCACCACCTAAACTGTGGTTCTGGAGCAGGCTGTCACTCCAGGAGGATTTGTGAGGAGTGATGCTTTGTCATTATGGTACCACACCCTAACTGTAAGACAGAATGGCTGCTAGTATCCAATCCCCTTTTCAATACATCCTTATGACTCCTCAAATGAAAATCTAATTGTTGTATCGTGGTTGGGGTGTCTGTCGCTCTTAGAGCCTTTCTGTTATCTTCCTGTGTGCTTCACTCTAGTTTTGTGAGAATATAGCCAGTTTCTTCTGGACAACCCTGAGCTAAACAGGACGTCACCTTTACTGTGAGTGTTATACCTCAATAAATGCTTTCCTGAGTCTGGTGTACTAGCTGTCTCTTTCTCTTCAGACAAAATTATTTCCCTCTGGAAGTGGCTAAACAATAGGTGGGACATTAACAGGCAGCATTCATCAGCTATGAAAAGAAAAACTCTCTCTCCTCCCCTTCCCCAAATGGTAAGGATTTACTTTACTCCCTCCTGAGATGGACCATCACTTATGTCTTTACTTTACTAATTAGGAATGCCACTGTGTCATGCTCGTAGAAAATCTCTTTAAAAGAATCCAGCCAGGTCTCTGCTATTCGGATTTTGTTCCTCACTGCAGCCTCTTCGTTGGGAAAAGTGTGCGGGATGTGATTTCGAAAGATGTGCCCCACCCGTGAGCATGGAAGGATTTCAACAGAACCACCACAGAGCCAGGCCTGTAACACAGATGAAGACAAAAAGGACTCTAACATGGTGTATCCGCTATGCAGGCAGTACATCGCTATCAACACCATTTAGCAAATGGTAAGTAATCGAGGTGTGCAAAGCAAGGTGAAATAGACACTGACATGAGTAAAAATCTGTTCTGGCCAGTAGCCTTGTGGATTCATTTTATCTGATAACAATACTGATGGGGCCAAGTTAGGGGTGCCCCAAGGAGGAGGCCCTCAGAAGGAGGAGGAAGTCCATTCTCCCAGTGCACCCATGAAGGAGGCAGCTATAATTTGGTTGCTTGTGTTCTGAGGCCTTATCTAGACTAGGATTTGGGAGGTGTTAGCTAACATGTATTAACAGCCTAGTGTAGAAAAGGCAGTGTGTCTTTAACATGTGTGCAACTTGTTGATTTACTCAAGTCTTTAACATTAATTGTTAAACATGTGTTAAAGGCACACTGCTGTGTCCATTCCAGTTGTTAAGATTCTGCAGCTAACACTTTCCAAATACTACATGCATGAAAGGGTTCATTTGCAAAATGCAGCTTTCAGAAGGTGCTAAAAATATTGTCCTTTCATGAGATGAGGGTCAGCCAATGAGACTTTGTTTTGATGACATACTGCTTCTAACTTAGTGGTTCTGTGTGTTGTCACTTGACATCTTGCTGGACAACTTTAGGGGTAGATTTCTCTGAGAAAACAGTAATTTCTCTTCACCTGATGCAGTTTTGTATTTGGTTTTTATTTTCTGAGTTGCTTCTGGGCTCTTAAATGCGGTTCTCTTCAACACACAATAGTTACTTGACATTTTTCTTCAGATTCTTACCCTTATAGATAATTCTAGGTTTTCTGCCCCCCATAGAGTCATGTCGGAATCATAAGCGCCAATATTTTGGAAGTAATGTCGGTCCATTGCCACTACTCCACCAGGCACCACGGGACTTCTAGACAGAGCACAGTTTAAAAGTGAATCTTGCTGCAATTTAGGATGGAGAGTTAAACAGAGAATGAGATTTACTCTGATCATGGAGGTTTCAGAGTAACAGCCGTGTTAGTCTGTATTCGCAAAAAGAAAAGGAGTACTTTTGGCACCTTAGAGACTAACCAATTTATTTGAGCATAAGCATCCGATGAAGTGAGCTGTAGCTCACGAAAGCTTATGCTCAAATAAATTGGTTAGTCTCTAAGGTGCCAAAAGTACTCCTTTTCTTTCTGATCATGGAGAGGTCTCTATAAATCAATGTATGATCCTGTGGTGGGCCTTACAATCACTGAGAGGGTAGCAGGGGAATTTTAAAGTGTCAACTGTGTTTCTAGTTTAAAAGGTAGGGGTGTGTGTGTGTGTGTGTGTTGCTTTCCACTTGCTGACTACTGGCAGATTTTGGGACTTTGCAGTGAGCCATTTTGCTGTTGGGAGAGAAATGGGGCTCAGGGTATTTCCCAGTGTAATTTATTTATTTTACAAATGTACACAATTGCTGTTTACTTTAAACAGAGATGGCCAAAACTACACTTGCAGACACCCCAGGCAAGACACTATTGTGTAAAGCTCTGCAGAGAAGAAGCTGCTTCCTTCCCTCTGACCCTCTTGCTCTTAGCACCCTCTCTGTTTTTGAGTCCTGCCCTCAGTCTTCTCACCAAGGTTACTCATTAGCCTAGATTCTAGGGCTTACCTACAATTTTACCATGTTTGAACATGGTTATGAACACCTGAGTTAGCTGACCTGATGTTGGCCATAAGTTTGCGGTCAGCGTGGACCAGCCAAGAGATGTGCCTGGCATTGGGTCAACTAAACTGTGGAATCACTAAAGGCTGCTGCTTCTTTGATCTCTCAGTAGCAGAGTTCTGTCTCTCAGGTTATTGCCTCATCTCTTCCAACATTCCCCAGCCCTCTGTGACCTGCAGTCCATTGAAGTCTATGACTGCTCTTCTATACTCATTCCCCCCCGCCCCTCCCCATTCTCCCTGCTCAATCCTCCTCTTTCTCCACTGACTCTGTTGCTGAATCCCTTCACTTCTCTCCTCCACCATTGACTCTTTTCTCCTTCTTGACCCCCCATTGTAAACTGTCCTACTAACCCGCAACCCTGGCTCACCTCAACCTCCAATTTGTCTGTTCTGTCCCACTGAATGCCTCAGAAATCATTCTCATTGTTGCACAGACTTCTTCCACTACATATTTGTTCTCTTTTCCTTCATGTTACCATTTTTCTTGCCAAACCAGCACTACACTGCCACCTTCATTGAATGCCTCTGACCTCCACTCATTCTCTGTCACTACTGAACACACCACCATTCTCCCTGTCACTCAGTAAACTAGGTCTGAACTTCAGCTCCTCCCTCTTCGGACACTTCTAGGTGATATCCAAATCTTGCAGCCTTTTTTTTTTTTTTTTCCTGCACAATATTTTGAGGCTCTTAGCTGGGTGAACAGAGAAAAAAGATTAAACCTCCCCCAGATTCTCATCTCAACTACTTCATCACCTCCTCCAGGCCATAAAAATAGAGCAGATAAGATTATCCTCACATGTTGATCTGACCACATCTCCCCACTTGAAACCCTCCTCTGGCCCCCCCTTGTCCACCTCCACTAAGCTCAAACTTCTTGTGGCTGCCTTTAAGGCTCTGCATAATTCTGCCACACTTTACTTTACTGCCACACTTTACTTCTCCCTACTTGTCTCTTATTTTGTCATCCCTCTCCCCGCTGCTCCACCTCAGTCATCTGCAATTCCCACACTTTTTTCTACTCCATATAAAATCCTTTTGCTTTCAATTTGGAGTTAGGTGCCTAAGTATCCTTGAGGATCTGAGCCTAATTGAGTACATCAACTATTAATCTATTTCATTTATTGCATGACTGACTTGTTCAACTCTATGGAGGGAAGGAAATATGGAACTGAAGTTGGAAATTGGTACAGGAGAAAGAGGCAAGAGAGGAATGGTTGAGTGAGGGTCAAGGGATGGGGAAATTAGCATATTTTAAACTTATACACACACATACACCCCACATCAACATGTAATTAATAAGCCATGTGACTATCATTATCCTAATAACTTTGTATATGGCATCTTCCCCTCCCCCCATTCCTTGTCTTTTCAGTTTGTGTAGGTGCTGGAACTAGGGGTTCTGGGGGTGCTTCCATACCCCCTGGCTTAAAGTGGTTTCCGTTATATCCAGGGTTTACAGTTTGGTTCAATGGCTCTCAGCATCCCCACTATACAAATTGTTCCAGCCCCGCTGTCAGATTGTACACTGTTTGGATCAATGTCTGTGTCTGGAAGCACGTGCCATAACATAGACCTTATTGTAGTGTAATAATATTATTAATAAATTAAAACCTACCGGATATGTAAACTTAATGTAAACCAATAACCCTCTCCTCTCAAAAGTTACGGGCCAAAAAAACCTGTGAATGTAATCCTCTCTCTTCTCAGTTAGCTGGAGGGTGTGTTAGATTTTGTGATTGTGTTGCTGAGGGGAGAGTAAGCATATTGGCTGATGAACTGTTACCTGATGGGGCTGATGGCAGACTGGCGTACCTTCTCTTCATGCTCTGGCAGCGGCTCCCAATGGAAATCTAATTTCCAATCAAATCCACCTCGTTGCAGGTCCACAGACTGATGATACTGAAAAGTCTTCCAGTCAATGACATCTATGACAGGGGAGACGATTCGATTTCTGAAAAGAATTTATTTTCTTTTGAAAGCCAAGTTGGGGAATAAGTTGGTAGTGTGTTAGTAAACCATTTGTTCTAGGATTTGACCCTGCAAGGTGCTGAGCACTCCTGTGAGGTACCGATTGCCCTCAACTCCTCTGCTGCTGGGAGTTGAGTGTGCTTTGCCTACTGAAAGATTGAACCTATAGTGAGTAAAGTAGGGGACACTAATTTATTAAGAATGTATAATCACAGTCATTTCACTGTTAATTGGGTCTTACTTTGGTTGCACTATCAAAATGTACAAATACAGAACCAAGAGATGGTCCTTGCCCCCAAAAGCTTACAATCTCTGGATTTGGCACTGAATCTTTTACACAGCTGGACACATTCTGTCCACTGTTCTACCTTCTGAAATTTCAATTGCATAGACAAAGGGTCACAATCTGCCCTTACAACCTCACTGGTTTCAACAGGGTTTCATGGGTATGACTAAGGGCAGAACTATTCTTGAATAGTGGAATTTAGGAGGTGTATTTTGCTTATAATTTTCCATGGACTGGTCATTGGAAGAGACCTATTTTTCATCTGAAGAGACCTATTTTTCATCTGATAAGGTTAAATTGAAAACACAAGTGTTCAAAATATAGTATACTTATTCTTTTTCTGTACTATATTATAATGGTTGCTTTGTAACAATCTGTGTAGTTAACATTTCCATTCCCTCTTAGCATATACTTGTAATTTTCTTGCCACTGCACTGTTTCCATTATATTGTCTGTCTGTAATAGCCAGAAAGGAGCCCATACCCCATGGACATATATCCTTTAATTAATTTCTAACTTCAGTTAAATCTGGCTTTATCTGAACAGGACTATTCTGTATTTTTCCATGTCAGACATCTCATGATGCTTAACAATGAGCCTCATGACATCCTGAAATTATCAGGAATTCGGCAAAGAACAAATTCTGTGGTATCAAAACCTGTTTCCTAATCAATGGTGCATGACATTTGGAAACCATCTTAATAGTTCAACTGCTACAGCATTACAGATTTGACAGCTGCAGGAAAAAAGCTGTTTGGAAGAGGAAAGTAACCCATTTCTGCTCTATTACACAGGAGCTACTCCCATTGACTTCAGTATAATGGCTAGTCTACACAGGGAAGCTGTTCCAGAATAAGGTAGGGGTGCGTATAAAGTGGGAATAGCTGTTGTGGATTAAAGCAAACCAGAAAAAGACACTGTGATTCTGCAATAAGAGTAGTTTTCAGAGTAGCAGCCGTGTTAGTTTGTATCCGCTAAAAGAAAAGGAGGACTTGTGACACCTTAGAGACTAACATATTTATTTGAGCATAAGCTCATACAGCTCACAATAGCTCACTTTACCTGATCACTCTTGTCACAGTGTGTATGGTAACACCCATTGTTTCATGTTCTCTGTGCATATAAATCTCCCCACTGTATTTTCCACTGCATGCATCCGATGAAGTGAGCTGTAGCTCACGAAAGCTTATGCTCAAATAAATTTGTTAGTCTCTAAGGTGTCACTAGTACTCCTTTTCTTTTTGAGGATACAGACTAACACGGCTGCTACTCTGAAACCTGTTCACATGTAGACAAGCCCTAAGTGAGAGAAGAATCTGGCCCCCTTTGTGTAGAAAGCAGCATGTTTTGCCAAAGAGACACCAAAGGCCTTCTCTTTAAAAGTTTTAGCCCTGCTGGTCTGAGATCATTCTTAAGAGGAGCTGAGTTTAAATACACTCCAGCCAATAGGGAAAGGTCAACACCATAGTCTTCAGTATCCTGTTATCTGTTCACTGTTTGCCAGGGCAATGAAAGAGAGACTGATGTCAGCTTTGGGAGCTGACAATTCTGCATGATGTTTGTATGACCTTGGCATATTTTTGCTGCATTTACAATCACTATAGTGATGGTTTTCAGTGAAAGTAGGGAGGGACTCAATCCTTTTTTCTATTACAGTTCTCATTCCACTAGTGAGGATTTTAGAAACGTGTGGAGAAAAACTGTCCATGGGTCTTCAATGGCAAGAGGGGAGTTGTAGTATTATGGAGAGTATAGTTAAAACTGCTCAGTCTCTCCTTTGTCCCATAGTAAGAGAACAGGGAGTGTCACCTGTTGAGTTAAAAGCAGATAGATTTAAAACAAATAAGTGAAGATACTTGTTCATAAATGACTATATCAGCCTGTGGAATTCACAATCATAGGGGCTCATAGAGACAAGCACTGGATTTATAAACTAGATTAGATAACTTTATGACCAATTATAACATTTGTAATCATACAGGTTAAGACCAAGTAACTCATTGTCATGCTCCAGGGTATGAGCCAATTGCAGTAGGGTTCAGGAAGGAATCTCCCTATGACAACATTGACAATCAGCCAGGAATATTCTGGGCTTCACTTTCTTCTGAAGCATTATTATACGGTATAGGCTATATGTTTGTACAACACCTAATATAATGAAGTCCAATCCTCACTGCAGTTTTATGGTATTACCATAATACAAATAATAAAGATCAAATTCTCATTGCATCCTTTGATGGTATCCTGAGAGATTTCCCTGTATTCAGAATGACAGCATTCCACTCAAACGAAAGCCAACAGAAGTCTTTCCAAAGAAAGCTGGTGTCAATCCTTGTTCTCCGACTGAGAACACTAGGGCAAAGGAAAGAGGCGGAATAAAAGTCACCACCTTCTTCTGGGATGTGCTAAAATTGAACGCAGTTTACTGCTGGATTTACTTAATTGGTTCAGTCATGCATTTTTTTGTTTTCTTTTTACTAAGGAATAGCCAGATGAAGCTAAAAAATGTAATACATCTTGCATGACTAAATGTCAAAACTTAAAGAATATCATATAACTCCAATGCAAGTCAATAAAACTACAATTTAAATGGCAAGCAACAGCAGTGTGCACCATTTAGAGTAAAAATTACTACTGAGGTCCTCCTCCAGCATAAACACCTCAATGCCTCTTACAGCTGCCTGAGTGGAAATGGGATTGATGATTATAACTGGAACTAGAAACTCCTGCTTCACTTTGCTGCTACTAGATGAACACACTCTAGTCTATTGCTTCTAGTCTAAATATTCTTACATAGATAGAACTGATAAACTAATTGTTGTAAGGTAGTTTATTTTAGAATAACATTTCATATTAGAGTGAGAGAGATTAGGAAGAGAAGTATGAATGGGGAATTATTTAGAATAAAAAATTCAAAGATGCTTGAGTAGGATGCCAGATTTTTACCTAATGTATAGTTGTGTAAATCTAGAACAGTGGGTTTTCAACCTTTTTTCATCTTGAATGTCCTTTGGAAATTCAACCTGTGGCTGCGGACCCCTACCATAGAAGTCTTAGACTGAAAACTGACTGAACAGAATTCAACTATAAATGTTTCACATGCTCAGCACAGCATTTGACGCAGCATGAGACAGGGCCCTAAACAGTGGGCTTCTCTAGTAATGACAATACTTCAAAGTTTTGACCTGTAGGTGGGAGTACTCACACACCCAATGATTGATCAGAAAAACTGAATGCCTTTTTTGGGATCTGAAATTTTATTTTCCGACTCACCTTTCCCGGACCTCTTAGACATAGTCTGTGGACCACCAGGGGTCTGCATGCCACAGGTTAAAAATCACTGATCTAAAATAATGACAGGTTTCAGAGGAACAGCCGTGTTAGTCTGTATTCGCAAAAAGAAAAGGAGGACTTGTGGCACCTGAGAAACTAACCAATTTATTTGAGCATAAGCTTATGCTTAAAGCTTATGCTCAAATAAATTGGTTAGTTTCTAAGGTGCCACAAGTCCTCCTTTTCTTTTTGATCTAGAATAACTGAAGCGAAGTAAATATTGTCAGTCTGGATTTACACTAGTATAACTGAGATAAAATTCTGGATCTAAGGGTGTGATATTGGCATAATTCTTCTTATTATATTTTCCATTCATTTACGTCTCATCCTTTCTGGATTTAGTTCTCTAATTTGTTGCCAATATCAGAGCCCAATCCTCCAATAACACTTTTGACTTCAGTGGGATTGTTCATGACAATAAGCACTAAAACCAGAAGGGTTTGCAGGAGAGGGTCCTTTTTTAAAAACTATATGTTGTTGCTGTTTTGTTTTAAATCTTGGATCCAGACCGTCAGTGCTATGAAAACAAAACTTCTGCACTACCTGGAATAGGCTCAGCCAATCAGGAAACCAGAACCAAATCAATCACAACCACCAAACCAGGTAAAAATGTGCTTTCAAAACAACCTACTCTTCTGAACATTTTGCACAATTTTGCCTACTCTCTTAATCTGTCAGAAGCAGAATAAGTGAGGCTGTTTAAAATTTGTTCAGCAATGGAAAGATTGATATAAAACTAAAACAAGCAAGTTTTTTTTTTTTAAAAAAAGGACTTTTGGATAAGCATTAAATAAAAAGTTTGCACATGGAAAATTATGAAACTGAAGACAATTGATAACTCATTGGATATGCCATATTGCACCTTACCTCAAATTCTTCAGTAAAAGAACCAGTAATGTATTTTTTCAAGTGAATTATATGCACTACAAACTGATATCTGTGTTTTAAAAATATTACTGTATAAATGATAACACCTTCAGAATTCCGTGCTTCACAGGGTTTTAAGATACCATTTAGAAATTTAAGAGTCAGATCCTTAGATGGTGTCAATAAGCATAGCTCTACTGAAATTAGTGGAGCTGTGCTAATTTACACCAGCTTAAACTTCAAATTGTTACAAGGTCCTTCTGATCATAAATAAGGAATCTAGCAGCTTTAATTTTAATAAAACTAATCAATATCCAATTCTTATTTTAATCAAGTGTTGCCTTATCTTTCTTGTAATATTAAAGTATCCTTTCTAAAACATCTGTTTTCTGCATGTTCAATGGTGGATTTAGTGTTCACATGGCTAGAAATGCACATTTTCAGCCAAAGGTAATTGAAAGTTGGAAGATGTTGCTTGTAATTTGTTTTGTTCTTAA